CTACTGGTTTGAATTCAATTTTGACTAAAAAGAGGTAACAGAAAGGTAAAGCCACTAATGAGGCAGAATTTGGGATAATTAATGGAGCATAGAAGGTGGTCTATTGGGTCACAGAAACTTCTAGTGACACTATGATTTCTTCCTTATAATGTTCTAATTCTTGGTGTCATTGAAGTCTTGTTGTAAATCCCTTAAGGTCAAGTACCAATGATAAGAATTTTCTATAATCTGGTTTATATGATTACATCATCTCCTCTTCCCGTTTCCGTACTATACATATATGTCTGCTTAAACACCAGCACCGCTCGCTCATATCATCCAGGAAAACCTAGCCATTAAGTAACGTTACTTCAGACACAATACCTCTCCTCCACCCATTACTGCTCACGTCCCGCTCACTCGTCCATCACTGGCACCCCGCTGCTCGCCTCCGCTCCGCTTGTCACCGCTCACTTTACCACTTTTCTTTACAGCTTCCCGTAGATTAATATTTTGACCCGCTACAAAGCGGGTCCCTTCTAATGCATTTTCTGCTGCTTTCACGAGATCTGTACTCGATTTAAATTCGTGACTTAAAATCCCTGTGTTCGACCTGAAAACTCACCAGTCAAAGAGTATAAATAATTATGATAACTACTCAGGGTCTACAACCATAAATTTTTACTATATCTGATCACTTTCTGTAATCCACTACATCTCAATCTTCGAATGAAAATTCCCTATGGCTATATATATATACCATCAAATTACAGTTATCATGAATACTAAACCCTAAACGTTAAAACGTAATGATGTATAGTACTGTCAAATATGATGTTATCATAGTATTAATATGATATTTTATAATAAACTAGACTCAGAGTATATTTCTTCAATGATGTTCAATAAATCACAATGTTCTCTACATATGGAATATTCACTGTTTTGAGTAATTTAACTTTTTAGTTCAAAGTACATTCGTGCATCCAATCTAAATAAATTAATGGAATTATTTAAAAAAATAAATTAATCACACCATTTTGTGAAATATGACATATATTTTTTAGGAAATATTATATAATATTTATTTTCACACACAATAAAATCTAAAATCGACCCAATGAAATAATTTTAATTTTTTTGTTTTTTTTTTCCAAAAATTATGCGCATAACCATTGAATTTGATGAATAATATAGAATTAAAGCTTCACAACATACTATTGAATATCCGTATTTTCTGTCAATTTTAGTTATGATTCAATACCACCTAACACGACTACCAACTTGCTGGATAACCAATAAATTTATGTTGTATTCATATGTATAATATGATGTTCAATGAATACCAATATGATGTAAAATAAATCCGTTCTACATTATTTCCGTGATATATATATATATAAAAACACTTATTGCATTCATGACTTTCTTGAATTTCATCTTCGACCATAGAGTGCTAATACTCATGGGTCTGCCCATCATTTTCATCCTTCTTCATCCAAGTTCACTAGTATATGTAATTGGGTCGATCGACGTTGGCGGAGAGTGTATAAATTTTTTTTTGTATGTAAATGATCAAATTTTGGATTATGATAACCTCAATAATATTACATCTATATTTAGATCTCATTCATTTATGCATAGATTTGTAATTGCTTTATTTATCGTATAAGCTAAATTACTTATCCACCCCTACACATAATTTTGACCATTTATTTATTTTCAAATCCAATGGCCATGATTGATTCAGTATGATAATGAATTTATAATTCAGCACCATATGAGAACCGTATCTGCTAGGCATTGAATATATAAAATATTTATGTGTTTAAAAACAAAAGTACATTGTAACTTATAAGTATCTTTAAGATCATTACACATTACACGAATTAATTATTTGTCTAATCTAATGAACTTTTTTAGTTTGTTCACTTCATATTTTCTAAGGCGTGATTTTTTATAAATATTATTTTAAAAAATTCACATGTATAATATTTATATAAATTTAGTAGTGAAATTTTGTACCTTTTTTCCCACTTAAATAGCAATAAATTTGAAAATAATACAAGTCATCTGTTTGTATTGCACATCATTGAGTAAATGACATGACCTGAAGTTGATAATAAATAAAATTAGCTATTTAATTATATGCTCCATGTTTATTTCTTTTACATTATAATCAATATACTTTTTTAAGATGAAATTTTACATTAAATGCCTTTATTAATTGCATTATTTATGTATCTATATCTATATAGTTTAGGTGAAGCAACATGCATGTACAAAATATACATCTCTGTAATATTTATTCCGAGAGAGGTTGTACACTACATATTACATTGTTATAGATTATTCACTTTGAAAGAGCAAGAAAAAATTGTAGTCACGCACATTCGATTTTTATTTCATACAGTGGCTGCATTAGGCAATGGCTACCACCCTATGATGAAGAAGGAAGTTTGGTGTTAAACAAACAATATCAGGTCTTGCAGCATCTATAGTGTTGCTAACCAAAAAAAACTTGGTTAGTTCTTTGGGTTTCTATTTATTTATGCTTAAATAATTTATGTCCTAATCAATCATTATAATTTAGTGTCATTGGGCACGCATTATATAGCTAGCTATATAGAGCTATATTGCTTACGCAGGTTACGTATGAGGATTGTGACAGTCTTTTTGGTGTAATTAATGTTTGAATTTGTCAGAAATGTATTTGGGATGAATTTTTATACATTTTCAGTCAGATTATCAACTTTATGTGCATATCTTGTTTATATATTGCTTTCACTTTAGTGCGTGTGTATTTGTATGTATTTATTTAAAAATGGGTCATTTTATCGGCTAAAATGAATAAAAATTGTTCGTGTCATAATTAGTTGTGTTTGGTAGTATTTAATCTTATTCAATTCTTAGATTCTAATATTTTAAATTTTATTTTACTATTTGAAGATGTTCCTAAAATTTGTTGTAGAAAATAAGTGACATTCAAAGATCTTGGATGTACAACAGAATGTCTAATGGCATTCTCAATACAGAGTATATTTCCAGAGTTGAGGGTTTTATTCAATATTGTCTCAATAACCTAGACTTCACAAAAATTAATGGGAGGATTAAATGTCCTTGTAAACGCTGTGAAAACGCAAGGTTTCTACCTCTAGACGACGTACAATTTTATTTGTTGTCGAAGGGGTTCGTACAATATTATGAGAGGTGGACTTGTCATGGTGAGCATCATGATGGTAGTGGCACATCGCATGCATCAGATAACTCAACGTATGATACAATGAATGATGCTAGAATAGGTAATTACACACAGATGGTGATGGATGCTGTTGGGCCAAAATTTGTCTCCCGAATGGATGATGAAGAGCCAAATGCAGAGGACAAAAACTTGTATGATCTTTTGAGTGCTATAGATAAGAAATTATGGCTAGGTTGTAAGAAAGCAACCTTGCTCTCTACAGTTGCTCGGATGCTTACCATTAAGGCTGACTTCAATTTGCCTGAGAAATGGTTTGATGTGCAATGGCAACTAATGCGTGACATAATGCCAGAGGGAAATTGCTTTGTTAATAACTTTTATGAAACAAAGAAGTTGATTGAGGGATTAGGTCTCCCCATGGAAAAAATCGATTGCTGTCAATTTGGATGTATGTTGTATTGGCGGGATAATCTTGGTCTATGCAATTGCAAAATATGTGGAAAGCCCCGATACAAAAAGAAGAATGGAAAATGTGTACCCATTCGTTATATGTTTTATTTTCCATTGACACCAAGGCTTAAACGGTATATATTTCCGCTCAGAAAACTTCTTTAATGCGGTGGCATGCAGTTCATCGACATGCTAGTTTGGATGATATGTGCCATCCTTGTCATTCTGCGGCTTGGAAACATTTTGATACGACATATCCTTCATTTGCCTCTGAAACTAGAAATGTGAGGTTGGGATTTTGCACAGATGGGTTCCAACCATTTGGGCAATCTGGGAAACAATATTCATCGTGGACGGTTGTGATTACTCCCTATAATCTTTCTCCGAATATGTGTTTGAAGGACGAGTATCTATTTCTATCACTTGTTGTACCGGGTGGCTAATCCAAAACAAAAAAAATAGATGTGTATCTCCAGCCATTGATAGAGGAGTTGAAAAATCTTTGGAATGTTGGTATTGAGACTTGAGATGCTTCAAGTAAACAGAATTTTAATATCTGGGCTGCCTTAATATGGACGATTGGTGATATACCAGCATATGCGATGATGTTCGGGTGGGGAACATCGGGGAAAAAAGCTTGCCCAGTTTGTCAAGATCAACTTAAATCTTTTCGACTTCCTACTGGTTCTAAATAGTCTTGGTTTGATACACAGACAGTTTTTGCCCGAAGATCATCCATATCGACGTGACAAAAAGAAGTTCAAAAAAGGGCTAGTTGATTTCAGGCGGCCACCTCGTCGGAGAACTAGAGTTGAGCAAATTCATGAACTTGAAAGCCATGGCTTTAGAAAGGTAACATAAATTACATCAGAACACCTTCATTTGCATAACTTTCTTAATTTTTTCGTATATTAAAATATATATTTTGATTTGTATAAAGGTAACTGAGAAAGATGCTGATGAAACAAACAAGAAGTTATGCAAAGAATGTGGATGGCGTAAAAAGAGTACTTTTTGGGACTTGCCGCATTGGAAATACTTGCTCATTCACCACAATCTCGATGTGATGCACATCGAGAAGAATGTATTCGAAAATATTTTCAATACAATTATGGATGTTAAGGGAAAAACAAAAGATAATGCAAAAGCACGAGCAGACATGACAATGTTTTGTGATAGAAAAGAACTTGAGTATGATATGGTTCGACAGTGCTATCCTAATGCGGTGTACACTTTGGACAAAGTCTGTCGGAAGGAGTTCTTAAATTGGGTTGCGAAGATAAAGATGCCTAATGGATACATGTCAAACTTGGGTAGATGCATAAATATGAAGAAGCTTAGTATGTTTGGCATGAAAAGCCATGATTGTCATGTTTTTATGCAAAGACTTATTCCTATTGGGTTAGTTATTGCCTAAAAATATACGGGAAGCATTGACTGAACTGAGCAACTTCTTTCGGCGGCTGACATCAAAGGTGATTACGGTAAGCGATATGAAGAAATTGAGCAAGGAGATTGCAATTATCCTCTGCAAGTTGGAGACTCTTTTTGTCCCTGGCTTATTTGATAGCATATCCATTTGCCATATAAAGCTCGTGTCGGTGGTCCTGTCCAATTTCGTTGGATGTATCCCTTTGAGAGGTATTTTTAAATTTTCAATACAAAGTTAGATAAAACTACCATCTTAATACTTTTCTAATTGTAGATTTCTAAATCGTTTAAAACGGATGGTAAAGAATAAAACACAAGTTGAAGGTTCCATATGCAATGCCTTCCTAGTACGCGAGGCATCCTTTTTTTGCTCACATTACTTTGAGCAACATGTACTGACACGGACTAGGAATGTGCCGAGGCAAGATGATGGAGGTCTAACATTGAATCGATCTACCAAAATTGCTGCTTTTAACCATCCTGCTTGTTTACAAGGAAAAAGAAAAAGACGATTCCTAATTATGGTGGAGAGAAAAGCGATTCATAAATATTTTCTGTTGAACATTCCTGAAGTTGAACCTTTTATTGGGTAACTCAAATTTATAAGTCATTTAAATTATTTGAAGATATTAACGACATAATTTTTTGCAGAAAATTGGAAGAGATTCTAAGGGCAGAAAATCCACAAATTACCAATACACAATTAGGTGTTGAGCTTCAAGATAACTTTGTCTCGTGGTTTTTTAGATATGTAAATGTAATCTTATAATATTTTAGGTTATGAATAATTTAAATAACTCTTGTTTAACTATGTCACTTTGAAAATACTTATTGATGTAGGCATCACAAAACGAAGAGCTTGACATTGCGCATGGTCCATTGATTGAAGTTGACACTTACACTATCTGCTTCGTAAATGGATATCATTTCCATACTGAGAATTATGGTTCCACAAAAGAAACATACAACAGAGGGTATCCATAGACGGTGGTGGACTCGAATATTATGGAAAGATTGAAGAAATTTTGGAAATAGAGTTACCAGCACTCCTAATAAAACGATGTGTTCTTTTTAAATGTAATTGGTATGATCCTACGATAGGTATGGGTACAAAAAAACATGATAGATATAACATAGTAGAGATCAACAAAAGGAAGCACCTCCGAACATATGAGCCGTTTATTTTGGCAATGCAAGCATCGCAAGTATTTTACATCTCGTTTCCAAGTACAAAAAGAGACAAAGATGATTGGCTTGCAGTTTGTAAGGTTAAGCCACGCGGTTGGATTGAAATAAAAGAGGGAGATAAAAAGATGATGATTGAACATGAAACTTATCAAGACCTCACAGTACAGACAGGGGGCATTGAAATGGTTAGTAATGCGGAAGATTTCAATCTGGCGGTTGTTGGTGGTGACAATGGTATCCCATTGGTTGAGTCTGATTATTCGGATGATAAAGAGGTGTATATAGAAACAGATGAGGATGAAACATTATTATTTGAGTCGAGAACTGATGAAGAAGATTCTGATACGTAGTGTGAAATGATATAATTTATTAAATAATTGGTATACATACTACGTTATATATATATATATATTGGTAATACTATTTAGACTTATTCAATTGTGTATTAACAATATTCTATGTCTCAAGGACACGTTTCAGATCAGATGCAAAGGAATATTGTTGAGGCCCTTCGACTTGTTAGAGCCCGAGAAGGTCAGGGTGAACACCGTGATGACGCACCAGCTTATCCAGATGATGACTCAGGTATTTATGGAGAAATTTAGATATGATCATTTTTTATTTATTTTTCTATTAAGGTCGTAAGTATGTGCTATATTGTAGGCTCATATTCTTTTATTTAATTTTTTCCACCAAAATCCTAACTGTGTGTTATATATATTGTATGCTCCTATGCTTTTATTTAATTTTTTTCACCAAAATTGTAAATGTGTGTTACATATATTGTAGGCTTACCATCACGGGTACCTAATTCAGTTTCTACAGATGCAAAAGCTTCTAGTAAGTATTGAATGTCATAAATATAATTTAGTAATGCATATTGATATTACTTATTTATATCTTTATTGTAGGTTCTGTTCCATCTCCAACTTCACCCACTACTGCAGCACGGTCTTCGATCACTGTTCAGTATGATGGTAGGTTTGGAATTATTCAAATTGAATGATCTTTTTCTTTTTTAAAACATTAATTCTTATAATTTTAATATCATTAATGTTTCAGCCTATTTTGGCCACGTAGTGTTACTAATAAATTTCGTAAAGTGTTTCGATCTAACGTGGATAAGGACGGAATCACGTGAAGGAAAGTTCCATCAATCACAAAAGAATGGTATTAGAAAGAATTTAAGGTATGTAGGTATAATTTTTAAATATAATGTGGTTTTACTTTATTACACAGGGATATTAAAGTATTTGCGTCTAATATCAAATATAGAAATATGCTGTTTGGGACTTTTCAATTGAGGGTCAAGTCAAGGAGGAGTTCAATTCCAAGGCTGTCAATGTATATGGTCATTGATACATGATATTAGATCTGAACGCGGGAGAAAGCCGGAGAAGCAAATTGATGTGACAATACTGGCCGAGTAGCGGAGAATTTGGTTATCTGATGCTGCAAAACAAAAATCCGATACATCAAAATAGAATAGGCGTCGTGGGAATATGATTGGTCGTGCTGAGTCGACTCACATTGGTGGCTCGCGATCTTTTACGGAGTCAGCGCGGAAGCTGGTATTTCTTTGTTTAGTTATTAACATTAATTATTAATTTTTTTATCATTTGCAAATATCCAGGGAATGAATAAGGTTGGAACCTATAAATGGGCCCATTCTAAAGAACACAATTGCGTCACATTCATTAATGCGAAAGCAACTAAAGTAGCTGTGAGTTGATTTTCATTATCGTTTTCATAATTCATTCTAAATAAATATATTTTATTGTTTAAATTTTGTTGGTAATGGATTATTTATATTGTTAGATAAGCTCATTTTGTATTTTTTCTTGTCATGCATTCTTTATTATTAAGTTGCAGATGAATTATAGTGGGATTCTTATGATAGCTTAAATTTTTATTCGGTGTTATTATTGTGTTGGTTGGCATAGGTTTATTAATTATCTTTAGGTTGGTTGGTGGGTTAAATTGGTGTTATTATTATGTTTATGATTCATTCTAAATAAAAATATTTTATTGTTTAAATTTTGTTGAGGAATGGATTAATTATATTGTTAGACAATCTCATTTTGTATTTTTTTTGTTGTCATGCATTCTTTATTATTAAGTTGCAGATGAATTTTAGTGGGATTCTTATCATAACTTAAATTTTTAGTTAAATTGGACATATATTTTACGTTAACTTTTATTTGATGTTGTAAATTAAGTTGGACCAAAAGTAGCCGTTTATTGATCTTAATATACTTCAAGAGCAGGAATTTTGTTTTGTATTGATTGATTAAGCTCATAATTAAAGGATTAACATAAGGCACTAAATGTTATAGACCTATTGAAATATTGACTTTAATTGGATTTGGTTGCCTCCTTCCGGGCATTTATTGGGGCCTGTAAATTTTAGTGTTGAAGTCATATGCATTGCCACCATATTGTTGTTGTTGTTGTTGTTGGTTGTTGTTGCTATTGTTATTATTATTATTATTATTATTATTATCATTATTATTCATTTGTATCAAATATTTTTATGATTTTGTTTGGAAAACTAATATGGTATTCATCTAAATTATTTTCAGGATGAGGTGGATGCTGTTGAAGTATACCTGACTCAACAAGGAAATACGTCATATGATCCGGATAATGTGTTCCTCACCGTAGTACCCGTGACAAGAAAAATCGCATTTATGGGTTGGGGTCATTAGGTGCGACTGTTCCTCCTCGACCATCATCCTTCTGCAGCGATGGTCGTACTCCGGGCACATTTATTCTTGAGGAATGATTGACAAAGATGGAGTGTGGGTCGGGTGAGTTGAGGACAGATCTTGCCGAGGGACGTAGTCAATGGGAAGTGATGCAACAACGTGTCACAAATATGGAGAACCAATAACGAGCCATATACGATTTGAACTTGACCATAATGGAGCAATTACGACGTATGGGAGCACCATCCATTCATAGGTCCAAACCCGATTCAGATGGTGGTAGTGCTCCGATATCATGATATTTTATCATTACAAGTGTTTTAGTTACAACCTTAGTTGTTTTGGTATGATATTATGGTAACTTGAATTAGATTTATACATTTTTCTGATATGTGCTACTTGCGGTATTCATACTAAATACATTGTGTTTTGGTCTATTGATAGTGTTTAAATTTGAAAATTTTATATGATTTCAACTAGTTCTTGTATCTTTGAGAAGATATATTAATCGAATCATTAAATTTATTGATTATAACTTCTAAATTGTTGGAAATAGTTTCTATATTTGTGTGTGCGCGTTTTAATGTGTTTTCGGCTGTATTTTCTTCTAAATTTTATTTGTGCTAAATATGATAAAACATATCAATAATATAAAAAAATAATTTTTTTGTTGAATTATTAAATTTTTTGCCGGTTTATAGAATATATTATATATATATATACATTGTGTGAGTATATATGCATATATGGTATTTTGTGATAATATTATTAATCTTAAAGTGTCAAAAAGTATTATTAAATAAAAGCATCCAAATAGCTTATTTTGCATTTTGTGATATTTTTGTGTATTTTGAAAATAATAAAAAAAAATAGATTTAAAAAATTATTTAATTTGAATAAAATAAAAATAAAAATTATAAAAACACAAAATTGTGGCCACTTGGGCCTCATTTTAGAGATGGGCCCTGGCCTAGGTCCGGGCCTGGCGATGCCACTGCCGCCTTCAGCGAACTTCTTCAAACCCTGTTGTGTGTATTGAGGAAAGATAATGAGATTGTCCGGTATTCACAATTTATGCCCTCCTATTTGACTGTCTTTTCAAATTATATCCCTTTAATATTAATTTTGTAAAATATATCCCTAATTTACTAATCAGCTACAAATATAGTCTAATTATCAATTAGATGGTAATTAGTTAATAGTTATAAGTTTCTATCTTCTCTCTTTTTATTAATATTTCTCTCTTTTTTCTCTCCTGATATTATTTATTTATTAAATTTATATATTATTATTATTATTATTATTTTGCATTAATTTAGTAATAGTATATAATAATATATTTTTTATATTTTATAAAGATATTATTTAACGAAAATATATATTAATTATATTTTTTAAAAAAGATAAATTTTAAAATATTTAAATATATAAATTTTATTTCAGTGATTTTATTTAATTTTTACTATTTATAAAAAAGTTTTCTCCAAAAAAATATAAGATTACACACCTATTTTTAATTTTATATTAAAATAAAAATAAATTTTATATTTAATATATCACATCAAATTCTTATTTCAAATAAAAATTGAAAATTAAAACCCCAAACAAACACACAATTTTCTTTTTTTTTTTTATCAAATATATTAAATATATTTTTTTTACATAATCAACTAATATTGGTTATTATAATTATCATAATTTCCCTAAAACACAACCAAAAATTCAAGTATAACCAAAAATTCAAATATTAAGGTATATTTGGTCGCGGTTAGAAATATATTTGAAATGTGAAGAATTTTTTATATTTAGAAATTTTAAATTGAAACTTGAAATAAATTTTGAAATTATAATGATTATAATAACTAATAGTAATTGATGATATAAAAAAAATTATATTTAATATATTAGAAAAAAAATTGTGTGTTTAATTAGTGTTTTTGTTTTTTTGTTTTGATTTAAATAGTAAAATTTTTAATTTAAATAATTGTGTGATATAATATAAATTAAATTAAATTAACCAAATGAAATAAATGTATTAAATTATTTTAAAAATTATATATTTATAAAAATATAAATAAGATATATTATTTGTAAAAAATATATTTACATAATACAAAAATATATATTATATACTATCAATATAAATTAATGCAAAAAAATAAATAATAATAATAATAATAATAATAATAATAATAATAACTTAATAAATATATAATAAGAAAATAGAAGAAATAGAGAAATATTAATGAAACATAGGAGAGAAAAACTCATAAGTATTAACTAATTGCTTTTTAATTCATAATTAGACTATATTTGACGTTAATTAGTAAAAATTAGGGATATGTTTTATAAAATTAATATTATTGGGACATCATTTGAAAAGACGGTCAAATATGATGACATAAATTGAAAATACCCCTGAGATTGTCTTTTTGATCATCAAAATAAAAGAGCCTATATATAGGCAATACAAAACGAACTCGATAAACTCAAATCTAAGTAATGTAATCTATGGATAACACCATATTTGAATATAAATCTAGTAAATCTCAAACTGAATATTTAAAATATCTTAACATCCCCCTAAAACTCAAGTGATATAATAGAAACCAACTTGAGTTTGAAAAGAAAGTTGAATACAAACGCAAAAGACACAAATAAAAATAACAGTTGCTTGTCTTCCGTTGCTGCTGCCGTGTCAAAGCCAAAAATAATGTTGTTAACTGAATTAGAGTTGAAAATAATATAACTCACAACGGAGTCGAAAACAAAATGACTCTCTATTGGAGCAAAAAATGACATGACTCTCTACCGGAGCAAAAAACAACATGACTCTCTACCGGACTCTCTACTGAAGCTGAAAATTATATGACTCTCTACTTGAGCCGAATATGACGGGAGTACTCTTTACAAAGTTGGAAATAACGGGACCCTCGTTGCAATCAGAAACATAGTTCTGGAGAAACACCATAGACGGATCATAAATCGTAGACAGATGCACATACATGACTTCAAATGTAAACAAAATCATGACTCAAAATATAATTAAAATAAGAAACAAAAAGACTAGAAACCATGGTCAAAATCTAAAAATTGTAAGACCTTCGGGCACATCCCAGGTTGAATGTACCCGGCGAAATGCGAGTTGGTAGGCTATTTATACGGCATGAGAAGCCTATACCATGTTAGAAATTTTGGGGGAAGATAATGAGATTGTCTTATTGATTATCAAAATAAAG